CACTTATGCACTTACAAATTTATCAAAGATGTCATTTGCCTCAAATAATCAGGTAGCTCTCCAATGATATTGCAACTCCTTAGCATCCTATAATTCACACCCACAAGAATCTATTTATCATTTATGTTGTAGAAAAGCCATTCCTTTAGTCAACTAAAATGTGCCTCACTGTAGAATTATACTCACAGTGTCTTCATATTTAACATACTGATACTATTAAGTGGTGGAAACTCTTCTTGATCATTTCCATTTAAATCACTGATTCTCCTGTATATTGACAATGTTCAAGAGAGAGTAAACGAAACAAAACAATGATAATATCCCAATTAACAAGATTGAAATATATAAAATCTAGAGTCCACACTCACAAGTCAATTAGATTTGCTAATGCACTTATGTTTGGAATCGGACCCATAAAGCCACTTGCTTGAATTACTCTGACATTATCAATTGTTTAATTAAGATAATAGAAATCAAGAAACACCAATTTAAATGACTTAATTAGTTAATTATAAGCCCAAATGGTTTATCCTAACTGAAAATGATTAAAATACTCACAACGTCTCAAGATTTGTCCAGTTTTGGATGAAAGTAGGTATCTTCCCTGTGAATTGGTTGTCACCAATCCGACTACATCATTTCAAAAATAGTCAAAACAACACATACAATGTGATTCGATAGACTAAACCTCGAAAATTTACAGAAAATCAGAAGCTTACAAGTCTTTCAAAGAGGTTAGCCTAGCAAATGTGGCTGGCAATTCTCCAGTAAAGTTGTTGGAGGTAAGATGACTGCAATATTAGCAACAACAATGTCAACAATGCAATTACATATGAACAAATAGATACAACAAACACAAAAGAACAACCTAACAGTCTTACAGGTACTCAATGCTGCGTAGGTTCCCAAGCTCTGGAGGCAAAGATCCTGATAGCTGATTAAACTCCACAGTGCTACACATTTTTTCATATATAAAAAATGAATTCATCAAATTTAAATATCCATGAACAAAACATAATAACAACAAAAGTTCGCTAAACAAAAACTCACAAATACTGAAGAGTGCGTATGTTCCCTATCTCTTGTGGGATCAAACCCGTTACGCGATTTCCAACCAGTGAACTGCAACAATAACATTAATACATAAACAAATAAGCATATGGTAGAATATAGAAAATATAGTTTTTTTTCATCAAATGGTTAAAAATGTTAGATCACCTTTATATTTGGCATGCATGATCAAAATAAATAGAATAATTAACTATTTAGAAATTGAGTATACGAAAATCATTATTCCAAACTATATATATGTATATTATGCGGTTATTAATTACAACATCATGCAGAACTTAACATGCATGTGACGAAACTTACATTTTGACGAGTTTCATTGAACCCCATTCTGCAGGGATTGTGCCATTGAGGTAGTTCAGAGACAGGTCACTGTAAAAGGTTTAAGAGTATATGAACTAGAAAACTACAAAAAGGAAACATAAAATGGGTAATTAAAGGAGAAGATTAGGGGCAAATTGAAATTGATTGCGAAAATGTTTGGTAAAAGCACTAACATTGTTTGAAGGTAAGGAAGCCTGACCAACTCTGGTGGGAGAGTGCCTGGGAGATTCTGTTTCTTCAGCACTCTGTTTCAACATTTAAAAAAAAAAAAAAGAAAAAAGGAATTTTGGCCAAATATTTAGAAAACCAAATCTATTGGAATTCGGCTAGTTTATATATTTGTTTTAAATTTTGCTTCTGGATCCAGCTCACTAGAACCTTGCTTCAGTCTTCTAGTTCTACTAGAATGATTGAGCCCACTTGTTTTACTCAATTCTTAACCATGTAAAACACCTACCTAATTGGTTATAAATAATGAGTAGTGAATATATACTAGGTAGCAGAAACAAGGGGAATTTTCGAGAAAGGAAGAAATATTATAACCGGCTTTAGAGGGACTTGAACCTTAATATGAGAAAGTTTTTGCTGCATGGTACCAGCCCAGCTTGGGTTGGTAGTGGGTGGATATTATCATCTTAATTATTCGATGAAAGTAGCTTTATAAACAAACTAAAAAAAGGTTTTTTTAATTTAGATTTTAGAATGTTACTTTTTTTATTATAAATGTATATAAATTAATGTAAAAGTTAAAATTAATTTTAATGTTAATATTATGTAAATAAATTTAATTAAATAATTGATAAATTAAAAGTTAATTCTTATTTTTT